TAAAAGCTGTCTTGGTAGGTAAGCATGTACAAGAGGCAGGAAAACAAGAACCTTGGTTCTCACATTGATCACTGCCCCAACTCTACACAACACTGAAATATTTGCCCAAGCAAAAGGAACAGAGAGAGAAGCATGATTAATTTCGAACTGTGAAGTATTCTGCATCAGAATGCTGGATGAAATCTCACTGCAGCTGCAAGTAATGTGCTCCTGTATCACTGCCAGGTTACCATAGTCTGTCTCCATTGTAACCCATCTACACCATGGGAGAAAAGACTGTGCAGTGAATCTGCACAAAAGAGCAAATGTTTAAAATAAATGTCAATGGGAAATCTTAACAACTGCCACAGAACAAAGTGAAACATGAGAACAGAGTTCCAAAAGCAGAAGAATGGCTTTGACAGCAAATTTTAAGCATGAATGACTGAAATATATATATATGTGACTGTGTATCTTACTACTGCTGGGAAGTATACCCAGCTTGAGATTTTTATGGGAAAAGAGATCCTATATGGTAGTAAGTAGATCTCCAAACTTCACTGGAAAGTACCAACTTATCAATAAAAAGCTAAAATAAGAGATGAGGGGGCAATGAGATACAAAATTCCAAAGGTGCTAAGAAAAGCCTGTAAATGCAAGCTGGAGTTCTCCTTAGTCACATACCCACAGATAATACTTACTGAACCTTGATTTAATCATAGCAATCTTGAAAGACTTTCATCATCACAGATGGTTATTTTTCTAACATTGTAGTAATTCTGCAGAAGAACTGACCATCAGTTGAACCAGTCTGAAAATTATCAATCATGGCTGGATCAATACTGTTGGGTCTATTTTTTTTCCATCTACTATTTGCTGTCATTTGGACTCTTTCCACATTTGCATGCAACAATAGACCTATAATACATCTTAAAAGCTGACTTACACAAGAAAGATTGGTGTTACTTAAGTGAAAGAAAACTGAGGAAAGTAACAGCAGTTTTTAAACACATGACATACTGACAGATAAAAGAAATCCCTATTCCACGTACTTGGTACATTGCAGAAGTAGTAACAGGCTTAAACTTCAGTGTAAGAGCTCAGGTAAGACACAAAGGGAAAGGGGAAGCAGAGGCAGCCTTCCAGCATTGAGGAAAACAAGATACTGAAAAGCATTTGTCTGGGCAGTTGTAGAGTCTCTGTTACTGGAAAACTAGAACACCATATTGGACAAACATCCATTAGGACCAACATAATAACTCCTGATTAAGTATGGTGGCAGGAAAAAGGACTGGACAACTCTTTCAGAATGGTAAAGGTAGAAATCTGTGATATGTAATAGTAATTCATGAATATGACAAATCACGAATCATTTAAGACAAGAAAAAATGGTATCTATCACTCTGGTGAAGAAGTTTATAATGACAAATGCATTTCCCACAACAGAAGGTGGAACAAGGGGATGAGGAGGGGGTCAGGGGAGGAGAAGCAGGGGGCAAGGAATTTCAGAAATTACATGATGTTCAAGCAAACTTAAAAAAAAAAAAGAGTCCATACAAAGCCAAACATAGGCTAAGATTAAAACTAGGAAAAAAAAAGGAGGGGTAAGAAAAAGAGCTAAATAAAAACGGCAGAATTAAAGTCTAAGAATTAATAAAAAGTAAAGAAGATAAACTCAAATAGAACAGAATATGAATCAAAGAAATATAAAAGCATAGTAAAGTGTTGAAGAAATTAAAAAATGAAGGTAATTTAGTGGTTAAAGCACTAACCTACAATTTAAAATACCTTTTTTTAATTCCCTGTTCAGGCTTCCTAACTTTCTGAACAAGCTACCTAAATTCTCATGGCCTCAGGTCCTACTCATAACTACTCTTGTACACAGAAACTTGCTGTGGTAGGAGACAAGGTTTCAGTTGTGCACGTATGGGGGTGTTAAAACTTGAGTAAAATGGTATTAAACTGCAACATCATTAGAATAAAAACAGAACTCAAGCTAATGCAGCATAAATACAATATTAAAACAAGGAACCATCTGAATGAAAAGTCATAATAGCATGTGATGAATTCTTGAACAAAACAGGTAAGTTCTTTTAGAGTATGACTGAGTTTGTGAAAATAAATGGCAAATTTATTTTAAAAAAATTATTTAGTGGCTATGTTACAGTCCTAGGTCAACTACACAAGTCCAACCACATAGATTGTGACAGTACACATCCCCCATTCCTAATGTCAGCTATCCAATTTCAGGAGTTGCCACTCTTTATGCTACCTTGTCCTAGCTTCATTCTCTCCTACTGATGTTAGAAGAAGGAGGGTTGAGAAATGCTTTTGACCAAGTTGTTGATTCTTGGGCTAAGTAACTAAAACTTAACTCACCAGAGAAAGACTGACAAAATTTGGGTATGGATCTTCCCATCAGGCATCTGGAGATGATTTTCATTTTGAAATTCCCTCTGCAACTTCAGAGCTCTCCACAGACACACAATAAATATTAGGTGAGCAAGGATTTAACTGTTTTTTGCAATCTACATTCACATTCTCACATGCATTGAAGCGCTGGTCACTGATGTTGTCTGGTACTGTGATGTGATACAAATAAAATAGCAAGTGTCTAGATTTAAACATTATCCCTTTTACTAGGTGGGATTGGAAAGACTCCACCCCTCCTCCCTCCTTCACCTGTCTGTTTAACATCTTCTACCTGTCCCACAGGAGAGAAAGGGAGTGCAAACCCAGCAAGTTTTTTAAAAGCTACAGAGAAACAACAAAATAAAGTTACGCTTACAAAGAACACTGAGCAAGACAACAGAAGGAAAACATATGAAGGAAAACGTGCCGTAAAAGGTTACATTCCAGAAAAATTTTAAGAGCAGTTCATGTATAGGCACAAAGCTCAGCACATTTCGGAGCATAGAATCATGGAATCATTGAATATCCCGAGTTGGAAGGGACCCATAAGGATCATCAAGTCCAACTCCTGGTACCGCACAGGCCTACCCAAAAGTTTTAGACCATGTGACTAAGTAACAGTCCAATCGCTTCTTAAATTCAGACAGGCTTGGTGCAGTGACTACTTCACTGGGGAGCCAGTTCCAATGTGCAACCACTATCTCGGTGAAGAACCTCTTCCTGATGTCCAGCCTAAACTTCCCCTGCCTCAGCATGACAGCATTCCCTCGGGTCCTATCACTGATGTTTACAGAGAACAGGTCACCTGCCTCTCCACTCCCTCTCGCGAGGAAGTTGTAGACTGCAATGAGGTTCCCCCCTCAGCCTTCTCCAGGCTGAACAGGTCCAGTGCCCTCAGCCACTCCTCATGTGTCTTCGCCTCTAAGCCCTTCACTATCTTTGTCGCCCTCCTCTGGACACTCTCCAACAGTTTAATGTCCTTCTTGTACTGTGGTGCCCAGAACTGCACACAGCGTGTGAGGCCACACCAGCACAGAGTAGAGCAGGACAGTCACCTCCCTCGACCGACAAGCAATGCCATGCTTGATGCACCCCAGGACGCGGTTGGCCCTCCTGGCTGCCAGGGCACACTGCTGGCTCATACTCAACTTGCTGCCAACCACAACCCCCAGATCCCTCTCTGCGGGGCTGCTCTCCAGTGTCTCGTCACCCAGCCTGTACAAAAAGCCAGGGTTGCCCCATCCCAGGTGGAGGAACCAGCACTGCAGAGCAGCTACAGAGAAGCTACAGAACCCATCTGGAATGAAAGATTACATGGAAAAGTGTGCTCTGTACACACTTGAGATCTGGGGGCCTCAGCTGCTCTATCTGAGCCATCGGTGATGTCTGACAGGGTGGCTGCATGGTTTCTTCTGCAAGCTTTCTTCACCTGGCAAAGGTTTCTGGACAAGGCCAAGGAATGAGTCTGTCTGATCAGTTGGTTCAAGCACCTGTTCAAGCACCTCAAACAGCAATAAATACATCTCTTTTCCTTACTTGGGAAAATGCTTGAGCAAACCAGAAAAGCCACTCCGTGTTGGAAAAAGAAGCCTCCACTCTGGGATTAGAGGACAACCAGCAAAAGCTTTCCCCAGCACACAAGGCCACAGCTATTTCCTCAGTTTAGAGCTAGGAATAAGGCCCTTGAACTTAACCACTGCTCATGTTTCTTTAGGCACGAGCAGTCTCTCGTGGCCTTGTTTTGCTTCCACTGACAATGACAAACCCCAAACCTTCACTAAAGAGGAAGTGGGGTTGCATTTATGGGCAACATTAAAGGCCACCAAGAAATGCAGAGCTTTCTCACTTGATCACCTCAGTCTCCAGACACAAACCAGTCTCGAAGACCAAGAGCTGTAACACATTCTGCCTTGCCAGCTGGCCTGAAATATAAATAGGCAAGGCAGTTTGGTAAAGGAAATTAAATACGTTTGTAAGCCTTGTAAGAGATAAATGTTGTCGCACATAAAACGCTTATCACAGAATCACAGAATTTCTAGGTTGGAAGAGACCTCAAGATCATCGAGTCCAACCTCTAACCTATTATGTATCATGGAGGAGAATATTTAACCTTGGTTTTGTTTCTTCTAATAACACACAAGCATAACAGGCGAAATAGCACAATGTTGTTTTGTGTTTTTGTTTTTTGTCTGTGTTTTTTTTTATTACCAGCGATATGAGTTGCTGAGCCATAATCATCTAATTAATTGCAACAAGCATTAACCACACCTTACACACGCAACACAGATGGAGTCAATAAAGAAAGCAGAAAAATGTTTGTTTTCATAACTGTATCCCTAGAAATGAAATCCCACTCCAAGAAAAATAGTATTAAAATAGTATTAGACACAGGCGAAACATCTAAAACATACATTTCTTCTCTCAAATATGAACAGGCTTTTAAAGGGAAGTTTTGAAACCATCAAAAGAAAAATTACTACATTTTCAGTTTAAATTGATAGCTATTTAAGAAACACCTGCTTGTGGTTAATTTAACCTATACTTTCTTTCATCCAGTAGAAGCTTTGTTTTTGTTGTATCCAAGAGAAGATTACATGATAGTTGACTTGATAGTTGATTTGTTTTAATAATTAAAGTAAGTATTTACACTTTTATTATGAAGACACATACAGAGGAAGTAAGGGGGGGGTTCTTCAAAATAGAAAGCTCAATTGAAAAACTTGTTTCAAACATTTCTCATTGAGTTCTGAAGGAATTTTCACAAGCATTTAAAAAGTTTACCACAAGCTAAAGTAGCTTTGTTTTAAATAAACACTGCACACTTAATATAAAAATAGATTCTATTTAATAAACATACATAATACACTATAAACAGCTGTGAAAGTGTTATTCCAAAAGTAAACAGAAGTCTGCATTTATATTTCAAGCAATTGCATAGAATTAGTTCATGCAACACAAATTCTGTAACATTGGTCACGAAACAGTTTTTTTCCCCTCTCCTCACACTTACATATATATATTTTTCCTTCAAATGTGGAATCATTGTTATTGGTTCAAGTTAAAAAAAAAAAAATCAAAACCACTATCTTACTGAAGAGACTGGGGATTCCATGACATTCTTTTCCAAGTATTTCTCGCAGCATTTTTGTGCATTTGAGTTTGGCAACACATTGAGCTGTGTGACAGCAGAGTTTGATTTGTCAGATCTGAGGAATGAAGTACACTCTGGATTTGTTTTCATCTGGCCTCTACTGTAAAACTTACTACTGTTTTTCACTTTGAGATTCTTGACATGGCCATTGGTGAGTTCTCTCCAAGTACCACCAACACTTTCATCGGCAGTGGAAAAAGATTCTTCACAGGATACAAACTTTGCCTGGATGTTTGCATTGGGTTTTTGTTCAGGATGCACCACAGGCATATTACTACTACCCAGACACTGACTTCCATTCACAGAATTCCATTCACTGCAGCTACTTTCATCCCTTCTAGAGATTTTGTGAAAATCTGAGTTTTTTGTTCTTCCAGTTGTAGTTTTCCAGTTTCCACACAATGGTATACATTCATCTTCTTTCAAAACTAATCTTTCATTTTGATTCTTCAGCACTTGATGAGATGGCTCTGAGACACCAAGGCCATCTGTAAGGCTGAGTGCATGCATATTATCTAACTTGACACGAAAGGCAGATGGAGAGGTATTCTGATGTCCTAAATTACTAGTTGCACACAGGAGTGGTTTATTCACATTTATGATAGGGCTGTATTTTTCTCTTCTTCCATCTTCATTTGGATAGAACTCTAACAGATGATCTCTAGTAAAGTCAACCAGATTTTTGGTATTATTCCCATTCTGAATATTTGAAGCATCTGTTTCAGGAAGCATATGTTGTGTTTCAGTCTGCGTTGCATCAAATTGCTGTCTCAAGTCACGTGGAACACGCTTATGAACAACTCTATCATTAGCTTTTTCAGTAATACTTTCGCCACAAGATTTGCTTTCCATGTGGTTTAGCCGACTTTGAGATAGGCCATCACTTTTTGAGTACTCTCCTCCGGTTGGCAGATCAGAATTTAGCAGCAGAGCTACAAGGCCAGGGAAGGAAACAGATTAATAGAAGGAAATGTTAACACTGGAAGAAGAAAAGGGCAGGGGGTTATTTGTTTGTATGCCTTTTTAAATAAAGATTTGTCAGTATTAGCACTGTCAGAATGAGCAGCGTATATTTACATATCTGTTCAGAACTTATCGAGAACTAGTACATCACCATACGCCTGCCTTTTCATTACTGCATCCATTAAATCTGTATTGCTAAGAAGAAAACAGCAATAAAACACAACTAACCTGAGTGGGTAGTTTTGCACTGGGACGTGTGTCGAAGAGGGGTTTCAAGTCCTTTAGCCATTGTAACAAGCTTGATGGCAGCATTCATTATTTTCTTCTCAGCTCTGACAAGAACCACAGAACATGAGAAAAAATTAAAAAACAATTCCTTTCAGATTGTACTTGAAAGTATTGCTAGCAAGAGCCAACAAACACTGAGAAGACAACACGTCTGACTGCTCAGCAATACTCAGGCATCAAGCTCGGCAGTGACCCCGTGACAGCCTTATCAGACCGGCAGCACTTCAGGCTGCACCACTGTTGCTCCAACACAGCCTGAACTGCCAGCAGACAAACAACGCTATGCTAAAATTTACGTAGCTCTTTCAAATATAGATTTCCAAACATGCTTGAGCTTACCTTTCATAGTTCCCATTATCAGTAAGAAGTTGCTGAAGACATGTCAAATAGTATTTCCGCATTTTCCGTGCCGTCTCTTGGCGCTCTCTTAAAACCTCTGCTCTAATCATAGCAGCAGCCCTCTCCTTACTTCCACGGATGTAATTAAGCATATCACCTACACAAACATACTTGATTAGTGCTAGTTTTAACTGGGATGGGGAGGAGAACAAAAAGCAAGCAAACAGAAGGATTTTCGAGCACACTTGGAGCAAGGCAGCAATGGCCCACATTTACCTGCTAACCTTCTTCCCAAGTCTCTGCACCTACTGCCGTTGATTGGCTCTATGCCACTGGAAGACCCAAAGCCAACCAGTACCAAATATCAGACACAGGAATTAAATTGGCTCGCTCTGCATCTTCAGCACAATTTTGCCAGCAGAAGGGGCAGGGACCAGAGAAGAATGTTGGCTGGCATATCCAGCACCAGGTATTCTTCCACAGAGGTACAGCTGACACTCGGGGACCCATTGTCCTCCAGTAAGGCTTGGGGCTGCACTCGAACCCTCTCCTCAGCCAGATGCCTGCTGACTAAGCCAGAAGGGCCAGAAAGCAGGACGCAGAACCAGAGAAAAGCAGATGCCCCCTCACAACAAGTTGCTGGGCTGGCAGCTGCTTTGTGAGAGAAAAAAGATCAGCACTCCAAATTGCCTTTACCATTTAACAACACATAATGTAGTGCTACAAGAAAAATGAAGGCATAATGAGGCTTTGCCCCTCAAAATGAAGCTCGCCCAGCATCATGCCAACAACTTCCATTTCTCACATTCACTCCAACAAGAAAGCAGACAGTAGTTCTTAGGTGACTTGGCTGTCAGACTCCTGTGCAAGCTGGCTCAAGGACAAGGAAGCAACTGAGGGAGTTATTTTGCTCTCCTACCATTTTAGTTAAGTAAGACTCCAGGACTTACTCTTAATCTTGCTCACAGTTGTAATGTACAGAGCACGCATTTCTTCCAGCCCTTTCACAGAGCAGCAGGACGTACAGGGTTTTGAGACACCTCCATCTGACAGTGACCTGAAAAGCATACAAGTCACACAGCATTCAAAAAGTAGCTTAGACCTGGTGAGCATCAGCTATTAAATCTTCTAAAAAGATCTTTTTTTTTAAAGACCTTGGTGGTGTTCCCAGGTCTCTCAGTTTAGCCTTCACCTCACAGTTTTCGGCAGTTAGAGCTTCAAGAAACTTCTCGTTTCCTAGAAAAGCAAGTAACAAACCATAAAACACTGTACTTGCTTACACACTCCAGTCAAGTTCAACATCAGACATCACAAAAACTGTTGCCTCTGGTAGAAGAGCTCCAGGTCACAAAGCTTCACCAGACAACATTCAGCTGTGGCAGTAACTACCATGCAGAAATCAAACATCGCACATTTTAGTAAAGCCTCAATACAAAATCATCTCAGACTAATTGTCACTGGCCCTCAGCACATAGCCAGCATGGCCAAGCCATTCTGAACTTCCCTTAGCTGACTCCCAGTGCGAACCTTTGCACCGTGCTGATCTTCAACAGCAATTCCTAAATGTGCCCAAAATTAATCTAACCCAACCCGGCTACTTCCAGAGCTCTACTGCAATCTCCTTTTGCTGAGAAAGCATGCATACACTGTCTTCGGCTAATTAAAATAACCACATGAGGCTGGAACCCCATTACAGAATGGGGTGGCAGCACCGATCGAGTCACTGAGCCCTCGCAGTCTCAGCAAACTCCTGTCCATGATCATCTGAGTCTTCACAGAGGTCTCCAAACAGGCAGCAGCAGGAGACTCCTAGGCTGAATTCTCAACTGTTCACTTATTTATTTATTTTCCAAACCAACAGCCAAACAGGGGCTTCTGGAGTCAGCTGGAGGGAACTCTCCCAGCTGGGAAGACTCACATGCGGCTGACTTAAGAAACTCACAAAGACTGGGCCTCTTCCAGGAGAGCAACGGCTGCTTTCCATAGCCAGGACAGGGAGCTCGAGAGACAGAGGGCTGCACTACTTGCATTGTTTGGTGTTTAATAGATGGTTTGTTATTTTGGTGTTGAAGGAATTTCAAGCCACATTACAGGCATAAAGCCAAAGGCTCTCGGGCTTTCTCACTCGATGCTTTTTGGTTGCACAAGAACTCAAGCTAAGCAGAAAGCCCGAGAGAGATTTGCATGCCTCCCATGAAGTTTTGCCACAGCTACACACTCTCTGGCTTAGCTGTAGCACATGTGACAGCTTTGGGAACAGCTACAATGCTCAATCATGCACAGATTACAAAAGAGGAGGGAACAGGAGAAGGTGAAAGGGAGAAGCATTGCCCAGGGGAGTCACATTTCCTCAACTAAACTCTTCATCAAAACACACAGAAAAACTACCAGGCCAGGTGAAGTACCATTCCCAATACAACCGTGTCCTTGACACGACGGCAGAATTCCCTGTCTTGTCTAACAGCAGCAGCAAGAAGTACGATTTGGTCTTCAAAGCTCTTGCTGAGTACTTACTCATTTCAAAACAGCATCTAGACCATACCCTGCTCAGCAGGCTCAACACCTGCTTGCTTACAGAACTGTCACACACCAAAGGTAGTCGCATTCCTCCATCTATAATGTTAGTCAGAACAGCTACCTCTCCCTCTACCAGCCAGAGGCTCACCAGCCAAGACTGCTACTAAGACACTTAGTTGGACGGCATAGTCTGCCAGAGCGAAAACAAGCCCAATACCTCCATCTGTTCCAGTTCTCTGCAGGGGCAGACATCTCAGCTTTCTTTGTGTTTCTGCTTGCTGACCAATGCCATACAAAGGAGGTGTCACCAGGTCTCCAGTTTCTCCTGTGCCTCGGGGCATGCTAGGGTATGCATTTTGACTGACATTACTCAGTAGCTCTCCATGTTTCTGCAATTGAAAAACACTCTTTGAAAACCCAGCACAGAGCCACACAAAGAAGAGCTAAAGGCGTGCTACAGCATACTGCTTAATTGCTTTAACTTAACAGAAATAAAAGCAAGCAACCCAAAGGAGACCAGTAGACCTACTAATTGCATCCCTGATGCTTTAGCCCTGCAGAAGAACTGAAGACAGCAGCTCAGATCAGGACATGATGAGTTTTCAAACAGGCTCCCAGACTTAAGATGGCAGGTGCACCTCCTTAATTTATCTGCCTCAGTACTAAAAAGGAATGCTCCTAACCTACTATTCCTCTTCTTCAAACATTGAGAGTGTTAACAGATATGCTTAGCCTCTTCCTTTTCACTTGCTAGCTGTGCCTTAGCCCTCCCTCACAGGTCTAAAGGACTCTTCCTACCAGTAAACGTAGGTACAAGTCATCTGACTTCTCAAAACCCTCTTCTAGGTGGCACTTCGCACTTACAGAAAAATTACCTCTTTCCATTCTCGCTTGTCCTTTTCCAGAATTGTGTGAACTGTTCTTCTGTAGGCCTTCTGTAAGCATGCCTTCAGTTTGCCTTTGCACTGATTATTTAATTGATCAGGAGCATCAGAACACCTGTCCTCCCAGGAACACTTACTAGCTGCGCACTCAACTAGCTCTTCGTGGACTTCTTGCAATAAGTGCTCAAGCTCAATCAGAATCTTCTCCTCACAACGACTGAGCTCATCCTGAAGTCTCTTTGTTTCCTGAGCTTCCCACTCCCGCTGCTTCTTGTCCAGTATCATCTTAATTTCCTCCTCTTTCTGAGCAGAGAGATTGTTCTTCTGCTTTACAAGATCCTCCTTTGCAGTGGCAAGTACCTCATTAATCTTGTTTCTGTGGTCATCCAAGAACAAACGATAGTCTCTCTCATTCTGCTCTTGTATCTGCAAGATTTCTTCTTGCTTTTCTTTGTTCCACTGAGCACGGGCTCTGGCTAGTTCTGCTTTGATAGCCGCAGGCATTTCTTCTTTCTTTAGCTCCAGCTCCTTCCTGAGAGAAACCACCTTTTCCTCCAGTTCTTTCATTCTTGCTCCAGATCTCTCTGTATTCTCATGTTCTTTCTTCCACTTCTCTTCGGCAGCTGAGAGAATCAGGGCTAACTGATCAACACATAAAACAGACCCAATCAACAAGCACAGCATTCATATCAAAGCGTAACTGCGTAAATTATTAAGTGTACCTCAAGTAAAGGAATAGCTGAATATCATCACCCAAATGAAAGTGTTTTCAGCTACCTGCTTTGCTGCAGTCCCTTTGTGTTCCCTTTCACACTTTTCTTGGTCTGTCTTCAGATTTACTTTGTACTCTCTGAGGTCTCTTAATACTTGCAGCCACTTGTCACGAGCTTGGGTTAAAGCTTCCTCTACCTGTAAGCAGATAAAGAGCCTGCTTCAGTCACCACTCCAGGAACGTTTTTATTATTACTTGCACACAGCAGTGAAAGTTGTGCATGGCAGTTACAAAGGATCCAGGCAAATTTAATTATTTTTTTTGTTACCTGGATGGCAAGGTGTTTACAGTATTTATTTTCCAGTTCTATTTCAAGTTCTCTTAAGGGCTCTTCAGAGGACATATTTTCTTTCAGAGCCTTCTTGATCTGCAGCTTCTGATCTGCAATGATCCTTGCTAACTCTTTAAATGAAGCATCATCCACTACTGTCACTCTGTCAGTTTGACTGCCACAATCATTGCAGTCAGCTACAGTTCTTCTCACTTCTTCCAGCTTATTTTGCCATTCTCCTTCTATCTCTCCAATGACTTGTTCTATATTCTAAGGAAAAACAAAACAAAACATTTTTAAGACAATTTGCCCATTATTCAAATATAAACACACCTGCACTGGCATTTAACAATCAACAGTCAGCTTACACTAGTAAGCTTCCCTGACAGTGGAACACCAAAACCATGCTCTGAGAGCACCGAGGTTCTTCCAAGCCATGTCTCTATATGTCTGAAAAATCTGAAAAGCATCAAAACCTAACGCTTTGCGGTGCTTCTTAGTCAGTGGGTCCCATCATGCTCTCCCACTCCCCTGCGCCCTCCAAATACACACTTCCCACTATCTGTTTGGTAAAGGAGATGATTTTTCTTCCCCCTCCCAGCATTATTCTGTGGGGAAGGAGACAAAAAAGCACTTTCTCAGTATAACCAAATCAAACAGAATACGAAGCATAAACAATCATCACCCAATTAGTGTGGAAAACTCCAGCATGTTATAGTTGTGATTACGGTCTGCATGCTGCTTTACAAGGTCTAACTCTGCAAAGCATACATCATACCTACTGACTTCATCAGAAGTGCCTGAAACAGCAGACCCTTAACACCCACCTCAAATGGCAGAAGCACAATGAATAAGTCTAGCGTACATACATACATACAAGTCCTCCTTCTCAAAATAAATTGGTTGCTTCATTTGAAATCCCCAGGTAAAAGCTCCACACCTTTTTTTCTTCCTTCTCCCAGTGGGCTTTGGCTAATGCAACCTCCTTTTCAACCTGCTCTCTTTTTTCTTTCAGCCACTGCTGCTTTGCTGCTCTCATAGAATCACTGTATTTCTCTTCAAGCTTGCTTCTCAGAAGGCTAAGAGACTCTTCTTTTTCTTCTAGAAGATGTTTCTTGAGCTTGGCCAAAAAAAAAAAAAAAAAAGTGGCAATAAATAATAAAAACACACCACAGATGAAGCATTCTCCGACATATAGCAAATTACCAAATTGCTCTGGTACAAGGCAATGAGAATGCATGAGATGCACTATACACTCTTTAGAGCCTGACTTTAGCAACAACCCCTAGGACAGGAGATCTGGCAGCTCTCAGAAAGAGGTGTAGTAAGGCACAAGATCAGAGGTTACTACAGGCTATTGCTCTAAAGCAATATTCTCTTATCTAGCATCTGCATCTTCCAGCACTTTTTCAGCTGCATCTCTTTGCTATACTGGATGAGCAAGACAGCTGGCCTCCCTTCAGTCATTCTGCGCTCACAGCTTCAGGAAAGCAACACTGTTAACCAATGCTGCAGACTCCATTCGCTATTACTTACAAAGAAAGAAAAACCCACAGCATTTGCACATCAGGTTTCTACACAGAGAAGAAAACTTGCACTGTCACTAAGGTCTTTTGGAAACAAGCTCGAGATTGCAATATCTCATGCTGCTGGCTGAATTGTCTCCAGGAGTCCACTTTATAAGAAGGACACCTGCGGGAAAAGGCATTGCCACTGGAAAGGGTTACTGCCACTGTATGTTAAACCACACAACACAGCAGTAGGCTAACTTAACAACCAATAGGTCACACTGCTTATCTTGCTGATATGGCCGCATCTCTTCCAAGGCTCTGCTCCAAACAAAGTTCAAGCCACTCCTGCACATTACATTTTTAAAACAGGATGAACTGAGAGTGGTGTGTAGGTATGTCCAGTAGTACCTTCTCTTCTTTCAGCTGCTGCTCTTGCTCAAATTTCTGCCTTAAAGTAGCTTCCAAGGTGTCCTTCTCACCACAGACTGCTATGTAACATTCCTTCACCGCAGTCATCTCTCTGTTCAGCTCCTCTATGGTAGCCCTTCACAGCACAGATTACTCATTAGCAAACAGTCTTTACACTCACAGGACACTCAGTCTGTTTTATAAAAAGCATAACTAGCACCAAGGGCCAGACAGGAGCAGGAATGCTTCGGGAACAATGACAATAAAGAAGAGGGGAGAGAAAAGCCTTACTTCAGCTGTGAGACCCTCTCTTCATGACTTCGTAGAAGCTGCTGTTTTTCTGCAGCATACTTCTCGGTCAACTCTTTCTCAAACTGGGCTTTCATATCCTCATGATGTCGCTGATAAGTTCTTTCACACCTACAGTTCCAGGAAAGGAAAACACTCTTTAGTCCCCCTTGTAAATGGAGTTCTGCTCTTCTTTAAGAAAGCAGAAGAAGAAAGGTTTCTTCTTTAAGAAAATAGATTTCCAGTGCAGACCCCTCCACACAAACAGCTGGTACACACACACAGGATAAAAATATCACAAAAAAAAAAAACAAGACAGAGTTAACAGACCTACCTGTCAAGTGCTTCTTGCTTATCCTCATCAAAATCTTGAACCATATTTCTCATCTGACAGCAGAGATCCTGGTTTGAGTTTTTCAGTTTTTCCTCATTTTCTTTCAGTTCTTCAATAGTCAAAGTATGTTTCTGGACAAAGAGAAGTCAAGTAACAGGCCAGTTTTAAGGAACCTTTTATAATGCAGGCTTTGGCACTTTTTTTTTTTATTTAAATGAAATACACAACATTTTTGTCTCACCTGAACTTCTTGCAGCAAAGTTTCATTTTCCTTTCTGAGTCTCCAAACTTCTTCTTTAAGATTATCAGGAACTAACAGATTGGCCACCAAAGGATCATTTATATTCTTCACTGCCTACAAGTAAAAAAAAATAATAATTTATGATAACTTTCAAGATTTATATGCTATGAAAACTGATACTTTAAAAACAGTTACAGCTGTTGAATATGTTGAATATTTTACTTATAGAAACTAAAAAACAAAAAGCCCGAAGTAAATTATTGCAGTGCATCCCTGCAACATCACTGTTATCCTTGAGAAACAGCAGTACAAATTTTTTAAAAAGCATGTACTCAACATTGAGTTTAACAAGCGTTACTATCCAATCAAGAGAGCATGCTTATGAAGCATACATACTATATTCCTGTCCCACATCCCGGTCACAATGTACAGATTACAAAAGCAGAAATTATAAATCCAATCATATAGTTGGAAGTTAATTAAGCAGTCAAGAGAGGTGTAGTATCAGTGATTTTTCATGGATCACAGAATGGTTTGCATTAGAAGGGACCTTTAAAATCATCTAGTCTAACCCGCTGCCACAAGCAGGGACATCTTCCACTAGACCAGGCTGCTCAAATCACAGCACTCTCAGACATATAGTTTGATTTTGGGATGGACTTGTTCAGAGTTGAATTTCATGATCCTTGTGGGTCCCTTCCAACTCAGGATGTTCTATGATTCTATGACTTGCAAGGATGAGACATCCACAACTTTCTGGGGCAAGCTGTTCCCATACCTCTACACCTTCATAAACAGAGAATTTCTTCATTACATTTAACCTCAATCGACCCTCTTTCCAATTCAAAACAGTTACCCCTTATCCTATCACTACATACCCTTGTAAAAAGTCTCTCCATCTTTCTTATGAGCTCCCTTTTACATATTTGGGAGGCTCCAGTAAGGTTTCCCTGGAGCCTTCTCTGCTCTGGGCTAGGAATCACCAGCTTTCTCAGCCCTTCTTCATAGGAGAAGTGCTCCAGCCCTCTGAGCATTTTTGTGGCCCATTCTAACAGGTTTGCACCTTTCTCGTGCTGCGGGCCCCAAAGCTGGATGCAGTACTTCATCCAGTAGTGGAGCAGAGGGGGAGAATCACCTCCTGGGACCTGCTAGCCACACTTTTTATGCAGCCCAGAATACGATTGATCAAATTACAGAGTGAATGCAATGAGAAGGCAATCTATTTAATGTCTCATCAACGATACCATCAGCTTTCTCACAGAAATTACAAGTCTTTTGAGATAAAGAAAACCTACTTTATCCAGTGAAATATAGTTCTTCTAGAAAAGCAAAGTGGTTATTAAGTGTTACCAAGCAAGTAATCCATCATATCTTATTAGGTCAGTTCTGATACATTCTGCCGAAGTTCTGCTATTCAATTCGTTTCTTTCTCATCAAAGATACAAAAGAAGTCATCATGAAAATGACTATTTTCCTTAAGATCAAAGACAGATTTCTTAATTGCTGTGACCATAGCTCTCATTAAATTCTTTGACCTGTTTTCATAGTAAGTTTAAGTGATTTGGCTTGCTAAAACCCAGTACATCTTTACAAGGACTTAAAAACGTGTAAAAAGAACAAACCTCTGACTCTTTTGATGCTTTTTCTGCTTTCAACAACTGCTTGAGTTCCTCTAATGTCTTCTGGCAATCCTTAAGATCATTTTGTAATTGAGTAATCTGGTTTCTCTTCATTTTATTACTGCTCAATAAGCGTTCCAATTCAGCTTTTAATTTTACAATAATTTCATCTTTAGAGAGTTCTTCATCCATGCCTCTGTTCTGTATTATACTGTTAGGGAAGACATAACCAGATCAGCATTTAAAAGACAAAACACACTTATCTGAAAGGTAGTGCTAGCAGAAGAACAACTAACAGTACCAAAAACACAGAAGTTCAACTCTAAGATGCAAGAGGAAAAAGAATGAAAGAACACGAATACAAAAGCCATGTTTTCTCATCAAGCTGCAATTAACAGCAGAAAGAACAAATTTTCTGTATGTTTCCACAAAAGATCCATTCTCACATGACAATGTACTTCAAGACAATTTGATTAGTTGTTTTAAAAACAGCTTGGGCATTAAGTAACTATGTAGAATCTTTGAGTAAATAGGTATCCATGCAATAACCCCTACAACCAGCAAGAAAATCAAGTATTTCCACAGGCAAAGATATGGCTGCTTCTTATTGAGAAGTTACGTTGCACTCCATATGCAGTTCAATTGCACAAATATATATATCATAGAATATATATATATGTATATATGTGTGTGCGTATATGTATATATATATACACACACATATATAATGTTCTCTACTACATTCCGGATTTTACCCACAGAGAGCTACAGTTAAAGCAGGGTTCAAGTCTTGATGAACACCAGGCTATTCTCACATGCCATGCAATGCTGACTAGGCATAATAAGTGAAAGTCCTCCTTAGTTTTGCTGCATATGTTAAATGCTTTCTAATGTATTCTCAAGGCAATTGATAAAAAATGGTTAGGGGGTGTTGTTTCTTAGCACAGGCTTCTAACTTATAACGTGAAGACAAACCTATTTCATTTCTACAAATTCCCCTTCGCTCCAGAAAAACACCAAAAAGAAAGGAACAATAACATAGTCCTTATGAAACCTGAAAATTTATTGAACAGAAATTAGGCATCTAATTTATGGTATTAGTTCAGTTTCCTGTTTCCCAAATTACCTGGCAACACACGCAGTATTTCAAGTATTTACCAAGAAAACCTACGTATTGATCCAGTAACACCATCTTTTACTAAAGAAATCGAACTCACATGTTACTTGTATAATTTCTTGGGGATTTTAGATTTTTCTTTCAGTAAGAATCATTTAATACCTGCAGAACCCTGAGTTTTTCTGGGTGATTTTTTTAATTCCCAAATCTACGTAGGAATCACTGAGGTTTGTATGCTGCTCTCCGTCTGCATCATTCAAAAATACTCCAAATTTGGCAGCAGATTCATACAAAGTTATTTCTTCTTTCAGTTCCATTAATTCTTCCTTAAAGTAAGAGACAGAAAAAATAATACTCAAAGAAACTACAAGTAAACATATTAAGACTATTAAGCTTACATGTATTACTCTAGCACCTACTAGGATTCATTACTTCAAGATGATAGGTTTAGAGAAGTCAAATACCTGAGCTGAACTGGAAAAACAGATTTGCATTGATATTTTAGAGGACTCCTTAGCATCCCCTCTTGTTGGCAAAAGGTAAGTTTCAGAAGATAATACCTCTAAACATCCTTATGGGCCCCCTATATCAGGGCACTGAATTTACATTCTTTTTTCAGAAGCAAGTTAGACAGATGTATGATATGATTTCTGCTGTTATACTCCCCCACCATGGTTTTAATTACAAAAATAAAAAATAAAGTTCCAGACACAATACTGGAAGATAAAGTAGTAGTAGTAGTTTACTGAAGGGAGTGCTAGCTTCCCCAACAAACGAATAAGAATTTCAACCACCAACCTGTTAGCTATAACGCCCTTCCCTTTAAAATCCAAACCAAATTAAAATCAAATTAAACATTACATATTTTATAAAATAAATTAACCTGCAAAGCCTTGTTCATTTTATTGCTTATCATATGTGCAGACTGAGCTTGTTGCAACTGAAACCGTAACTGATTTGTCTCCTGTATTGAGCCTATTGCAAAGGGGAAAAAAAAAAAGGAGAGAAAAGGTAAATCAAAAACTTGCAAGAAAGATTATGCAATCTGAAAAAAGATCACTGTTAAAAATAGCCATGTTGACTCTGGCAATAAGTGTTACTCTTTCTCTTTCCCTGAACTTGCTAATACAAAATACAAAGAACAAAGGCAAGAATACCTCTCACTATATCAAACAGGTGAACTTGCATTACTACAGTTCTCCAATTTAAACAGCAATTTGTTTTAAACTTTGGGAACTATGGTGACTGTTTTTTTCAAAAATTTTAGTCACTTTAAAATTAATGACATCAGGAACAAGATTTGCCAAATGTTTGCTGTGCCAGAAGTTAGCAAAAACAGGACCATCTTAGAAAACAGGCCTCTTTCACCTCCTCCACAGGCAAGGAGTTTAGCTTTATGAGCTTGCTAATTTATTATAGGTCTAAGGCATTTGATAAACATAGCATGGAGAAAAGTCATGGTGATTGGCCAATTATCATATGTATTACTTATGCTACATTGTACAGATCTAATATGTTTTTTCCCCTCCATCCTCTCTCTAGAAAAGGTTCTCTCTAGAGACTTTTCTTCTAGACTAACACAGTTCTCAAGCAGAACATGCTGGAGTTCATTAAATATTTGGACAGTGCTTTCAGACATAGGATTTCTTTTTTGGGTGGTCCTGTGTGGAGCCAGGAGTTGGGCTCAGTGATCCTTGTGGGTCCTTCCAACTCAGGATACTCTATGATCCTGTGGTAATCCATTAAGAAAGACATTTTATTTACTTAAGATGTCTGGATCCTAAGAAAGGACATACCTAATTATTAGAAGACTTCAGTCTCTAAAGGTAGGCACAAGTCACACACAAAATCAGCAAAAAATCCCACACACTATTGCTACTAATATAAATTCTCAAGAACCAGCCTCCAGCTACAAAAACAATTATTTTCAAATTAAAATCTCTCAGATTTGAATTTTGAATGGCAATTCAGGGTTGTTCTTTTACTGTACAAGAAAACAGCAAATCTTTGCTTCTCAAAGACTTATCTGTTGAAAACCACTGTTTATACTGAAACTTCTCAAAATTAGGAGCTTTAATTCTGCTACTGCTGTATTTGAATTGTTGATTCCATTTCAATAGGAATGCAGATTTGCAGTTTCATACCTCAAAAATTTGAGTCGTATCTGCAAGAAAAGATAAGGTATGAGTACAAGGCTGACCTGTTTGCAGTAAGTTTGCACACTGCTTTTGGCTTTCTTCTAGACTTCTTGTCAATCTATTTATTATTTCAGTTTTTTCACATTTGGTTTCTTCAAGCATTTTCTCCAGTTGGTTAACATGCTCTCCTAGATTTTTGCAGAGTTCTTTCTAGGAAAAATTATTATTTTTATTCATGTTATAAACATCTACCAATCCAGGACAGCTCCAGATACAGGAAAAAAAAAAAAAAAAAAGAGGTAACACATAAAAGACATTGGAAAAAAATATCAGTCCTAAGGGGAAAGAAAGACCTTCTTTCATGGGAAAGAAGATGACAATTTATCAAGGTCTGCTCACAGTACATTGTTTGAATATATTAAATAGCATGATGGACTCTTATGATATAAGATGTAGAGTAAGTTGCATAACTATGTGACAAGGTTAATTCTTTTCTTTCCTGGATAGATTCCTAGGTAGTCAATTTAAGAAAAGATTGGTCACAGAATGAAAGCTCAAGAGGGACGCTAAGACACTGAATTCTTGCTTCCCCCAGTAAAACAGAGCCTCTTCTGCATCTGCTACTAACAGTGTGGAGTTCTGCAGCTTCTGCCGCAAAGCACTCAGTGTCCTATAATAATTTCTCACCTGCTCTCGGAGTGCAGATTTTGTAGCATCAAGGTTCTGCTCTAAGGACAATACTTGCTTTTCATGCTTCTGCTTGAGTGCTGAAATAATGGCATCATGCTGTTCTCTGGCTCGTTGAAGGGCATCTGACCGCTGAAGTTCTAGCAGCTGCTTCTGCATGCTTTCCATGGCTACCTCTGCCACTTTGGATTGCTTCACTATCTGTAGGAAGAGTATTAGAGTAGCTCCCAATTACATTTATTTTACCTTTGCTCCAATATTCTGTATATCAAATCAGTTTTTCATGCAAGAGTTGCTGAAAATCCTCAGATATTGCCTAGATTTTAATACAAGTTATTTTTCCACCAATACATTCCATTCATTCACCATATATTCATGCTTCTGCAAGGATTATGAACAGTGTGCTGTGAGATCAGCAATTATATATGTATTTAATGCAAATGCACTACAAATATCCTGTAGAGATCTTCTACAATAAACAGTTTAAAAATATTTATAGTACCTGCTCTTCCTTGGCAGTAAGAGTCTGAATTTGAGTTTCAAGTGCCTTTATTTGACCTTCAAGATGCACTTCCCGTTCTTTTCCATTCTGATAGAGTTTTTGAGATTCATGAAGGCTAACAGCCAAACCATCCTTTTCATCTGAAGAGAGAAACATAGTAATTGCATGAGAAACGCAGCCACAACACGGAATGTGGCTGTTCGGTACCCTAGCTCTACAGAACTATTCTGTGAGCCCTCCATCTTATACTATAGGCAACAAGCAGAAGTCAGAACAAAGAAGTTCAGTTAGTCTCCATCTGGCAACCACTTTCTTCCTCTGATAGCTGGAAGCACTCTATGTTGTACCCTCAGAAGTCAGGTGGAAACCATCCTGTTAGCACTCAGAACTATCATCATTCCTTAACAATTCTTAAGGGAGAAATAAAGTAATTCCCCCACAGAAACAGTCAAGACATCAAAGTGGTTGACAAAGTCTTCTCTCTCTGACACTCTAAAAATTACATTCTTAATTCTGTAAGTTCTTAGCGTGTTTCTGTAAGAAAACAAGAGAACAAGACAACCACTAATCTCCACTACAGCTCTGATCACTTTGGAAGGCACATTTCTCCTGTTCTTTGTTGTTGTTTGTACTTTTAGCACACTACTTTTGCAAACTTCTCATTTTTCTGAGCATTTCTGATGCCAAACACATGGGAACTCTTAAATACAATGGTAGTCTTGAGAAACAACGCATTGTAAGTTCAGACAGTTATGCAGCCAAGCACTAATGAAGGGAATTTTCTTTAAAATAGTGTTGTGAGAGAGGGTTAGATCTCCATAATCCTGAGTTGAGCTTGTAAACATGATCGATACTTGCAGAGACACTACATAAATCATAGTTGCTAGATATTATAAATAAGTTCGCTATAAAAAAGTTGCTAGATATGGATAAAATCTAAAAATCAGAGATCAGTATAATATTTTACCTTTGACCATTGAAAGCTGATGACTCAGATACCTAATCTGCTGTGCACTCTTTTCTAGCTTTTCATTAAATTCTTCCAGTTGTCTTTCTCTTGCTTTATTTAGAGCTTGAAGCTGAAGAATCTGCATATTCTCTGAAGAATCTGCCAAATTTCAAATACAGTATTCTGACAAGTCAGCACAGTCAATGGTCACAACTTGGTTGGCTCTTAAGTAATTACTGCCCCAAGGTATTTCTTCCACATAGTGCCAAATTCAATATTAATCCACAGCAGTATATGGTGTTTTATCCATGTTTGATTCACATCACCTGAGTTGCTCTGTTAGGTTTGAATTTCATTGTTAGCACCTACAATTCTCCAGCCATCAATAATAATAAACCCAGAGAAATATTTGCATGAGGTGAATTCAGGCCCAGTTTAGTGGCAACTGTAAATTTTCAAGATGGACAACGAGCAAAGCAGTTCTGTCATTTTAAGTGGACTTAACAGAAAAGCCTCAATCTGGCATCGATCAACGCATGACTCATCCAGTACAGCACTTTATTATTTTCCAGTATTATCGAGACATAGAGCACAACACAACTTGAGATCAAGCCATCAGAAGGATAAAATGTGTTGGGGTTTTTTTGTTCTTGTTGTTCAGTCTCACCAGTCAATACTACATTTAAGTAGTCTGAAATTCAAATACCCCAAAGAAAAGCTGATTTCTAAATAAAGAAAAAAAAAAACAAATAAAAATAGGCTATCCCAATATAAGTTCAGAACAAAATAAAAGATCATATATACACACATATCTCAAAATACTGTTAACTGTTCTCTAAAACTTACTGAAACCGATAGGTTTTCTGCTGATGATTTCCAATGGACTTTTCACACAATCTTATTTCAAGTCTAAATAAGAAGCACTTACTTTCATCATTGCCCAAGAATTCATTCTGCAAATCTTCAAACATTTCATTTCTTCTCATTCCTTCCGGGGTTACTGGATTTTTTTGGTGAACTCCATTTTGGTATGGTTTATATGTCACTTTGTAAGTTTCCACTGACTGGCCACTAACAACTTCAGATGCAACAAACTGCTGTTTTAACAATATATAAGAACAAATAAATGAAAGCTACAACTGTAGTTTTCCATCAATTACAATATTTTTCCTTTCTGCTTCACAGAAAGGAAATTCAGCACACATCATTCAACTGAGATGGAAATTTCAATCAAGGTTTCTGCTTTAGCAGATTGGTGAGGCATCAACTTCAACAAAGTCATCACACATTTAAGTGCATCACATTTATTCTACCTCATGGACTTTTATTTCTTGCTCTTTTTGGCTAGCAAAGTATCACACACATGCAAAAAATCTAGATATCTAATGCTTTCTTGTTTTCATACACAAAATTGATCACAGAAGCCTCCCATTGCTGTTTTACCTGATAATAACAGACTGAAAACATTTGGAAATATTACTTACCAGCAGCTAAAGACCTATGAAAATTTTCACAAGGACAGAAAAATACGTAAGATTCTGAAATACCTTAAGATGTTCCTTTGAAGCATCTGGGAAGTTTATTATTTTACTTTGTTGACAGTTAAATTCTGGTATATGGCCATTTGTATATGGTCTAAAGTTTTCAGGAAGATGATACAAATTGTTCTGTTGGTAGCACCTTGGACCATTAAATCCATCTCTACCAAGAAAGACATTATCTGGATCCTCTTGAATGTTCTGGTTACAGTAATCTTCTTTAGCATCATATAAACATTTTTTCTCTTCATTATGTAGGCCATTCCAATTCTTGGCATGTTTTTCAGCATGATCATCTTGCTGGTCACACAGAAATTGTTCAGGATACAGATTTTGTCCTTCCTCATAATTCTATAAATGGATAAGAGGTTTAGAATTTGCTCTCTGAAAACTCAGATTTTTCTTTGTGGAGTTACCAGCCCTCAAGGTCAAAATACTTCAGATAAATAGCAAAGTAAGCCACCAACACAAGAAGAACTCCTCTAGTGAATTCAGAGAATATTTAGTGTGTTACTACTGACAAGCAGTTCCTACTCATTACACCTCTGCTTAGACAAACTTACATTTTGAGGATCAACGACCAGTGGATGATCATTCCACCGTCCATCAGGCTTCCGAGGCTCAACTGACCTAGAGAAAGACAAGACACTTACCTAGGGTACTCACGACCTCAACGAAGCAAAACAAACAAAAAACTACTTCATTAAAGTAAATGGCATCTACTCTATTTCTCAAAGAGCCCCTGCCATACTGCCTACTGCACTACAGCACTCCTTTTACGTGCAGTGCTCTCATTTACCCCATCAGCTGAGACTTGGCTCTGCTCTTAAAAGCACAACTTAAGAATAACAAAAATAAAGTACAAAGGGACTTACTGCTCCTCGCTCTCATGAGTGCTACTGTCTGAATAGCTGGAGAGCTGGTCTCCACTGTCCTCCAGCATATCATGGGGAAGGTCTGTCAAGAGTTGTTGCAGCTGAAGCAGAACAAACCATATACATTTCAAAAGATCATATACGACTTCATGCAAAGACAGGCACACACAGATGAAAGAGGCCACTTGCACAAAACCCTGACTTTCTTCCTCCATTGAAAAGGACATCATTCTTTGACAACACTGGAATTCACAGAGATTTGCACCACACAATGCTTAAGAGACTACAGTTACCAACCTAGGAATTTTTCTGGTAAAGTCCTGTGACAAAAAGAATCACACCCAGAACAGTTAAGGGAGAGGCTACCGGAGAGATGTGTCCTAGGATAATCTGTTAGTGATCATGCTGAGATATCTCTTCCCTTTACGCTGGGTAAGAGGTACTGGACATTCAAAGCCTGCTCTTACTGAGAGAAATACACGTGTAAAAAAGCGTTTCCTTACTCTTAGAAACTCCTGTGTTTCAGTTTGTGCTCATTGCCTCTTGTTCTATCACTGGGCAGCACTAAGAGCGCAGCTATGTCTTCTTTACACCTTCCCTTCCAATATTTACGTACAATGATAAGATCACCCCCAAACTTTCTCCTCTCCAGACTGAACAGACTCTGCTCCCAGCATTTCCTCGTAGGAGTGCTGCTTCTCTCAACTCCCTGAACAATATTCTTTATCAGAGTAGAAAGTTTTGGGTCTGAAGTAAGGTTCTCTATCATGTTTGCAGTAACATCTTTAGAAGTCATGCATCTATTGTTTTTGTACATGTTTTTGTGAATTTGTCTTTACATTACCTATGCTAAAGAACGGGACACCATCTCAGGGAAGCTACCTCATGTGAACATGATTTACCTACCCATACAAAACCACTTCACACATTCATATCAAATGCATATTTTTGCTAATTTCCTTTATGAAACAAACAGAATAGAAACACCTAAAATATTTCCACTAAATAAAAAAAAAATAATATATTTTTCTAGGTATTGGAGGATCTAATTTATAATCAGTAGCTTATAAAAGTGGTTACTCGTTTTTTTCTGGGCTAAGTAGATTTTCACAGAGAGCAACACTTTTCTTTCATAAGTAATTACAGTAAGCATAAAATCTGTGGAAAAAAAAAAAAGACCAGAAAAAGTAGAGCAACTGCACCTTTTAGCGCTCTATCTACTGCCTCAGCAACAGATTACAGCCTTCCAGTCTCTACATATGCCATTGCTTAAGATGCACCATCTCGTTATCTCATACTTTATATGTCCCTTTTGCAAAAGTCTGTACCCTGTATTTTGCTCGTATCAAAGAGAATATAAGTCTAAACCAAAATGGTGGTATGCTAGTTATGAAAACCATCACATAAACTTTTTTTTGAAACCTCTTGTTCTCTTGCGTAGTCCTCTTGGTCATAGTCTTCATCATCATGTTGAGTTTGTAGAGCTCCACTATCAAAGTCAAGGGACATCGTGGTCTAGCAGTGGTTTTGGGTATCCAGCAAAGCCTATCACAAGACAAGACAATATCATACACGGGTAAAAAAGTAGGGAGGAAAAAGTTATATACTGAAAAGTACCACGCTCCCCTCCTAAATTAAGGAACCAAACACAAACTTTTTTGGCACAAACACTGCAAGTTATCTGTGCGGCTCGCTTGAGTGTCTTTTTGTTTCTAGGTGAGAGGGGTGTTTTTCGTTTCTGAGCACCTCCTAGGTGACGCCATGAAACGACACCAACCCGAGCGCCGCGGTGCCTCCCTCAGTGCCCTCACGCTGCGTTCCAGAAGCCCTGCGGTGCCGACCACGGCCCCTTCCCGCCCGGAGCTGCGAGCACACAGCCGCCGGGCCGGCTCCGCACCGAGCTGCGTGACGACGAGCCTCGGCCGCCCGGGGACTCGCCGGCAGCGCCCTCCTCACGGCACCGGGAGCAGCGCGGGGCGGCGGCGGCAGCCTCGAGCCCGTGCCCTCAGCGCGGCCCCGCCGCCGACAGCCCGCCGGGCCCCGCAGCCGCAGCCTCCGCCGGCACCGCCGCTTTTCCGCGTGACAACCGACCCTGCGCCCGCCGCCTCGACTGACAGACGAGAGGGCCAATCACCGCCGCGCTGCGCAGGAAGGAGGCGGGCCGACGGGCACGCGCTCCCGCCCCCAGTAGAGTTGGGCTGCGCCGCAGAGCTCCCGTCCCGCCCGTTCGAAAGCAGGCGCGGAAGGAGGCGGGAAGGAGGACGGCGCGCCGATTGGCTGAGCAGGCGGCCAATGGCTCGTGCGCGGTTTGCGGAGGGGGCGGGGATTCTGCAGTGCGCACGCGCGCGGTGCGGAGCTTGGCGGGAGGGGGCCGGGCGCCATCTCGCAGCAAGCCGGGGCGGTTGCCAGGCAACGCGCCGTGGCGTCGCCGGAGCGCAGCTCCCGGGGCTTCCAGGCAGGCCCAACGGGGCGGCGGCTCGCTATCGCGACTTATGTCGTGACGGCAGCTGGCAGTGCAGCCCTGAGGGGGGATCTGGAGGGCCCGTCGTCGTCCCGCTCCTCCCACGGGCGTGCCAAAGCCGCCGCCCCTCGTCGGCTGGCCCTGCCCGCGCCCACAGAGCGCGGCTGGCACAAGATGGCGGCGGCGCCGGGCAGGGGGGAGCAGCGAGCCTCTGCCCCGCCGAGCTCCAGCCGGGAGGGCCTGTGTGGGCTCCCTGGTCTCCCGGTATTGTAATCTGATTAAATAAAATAATAATAAAATAAAATAATAATAAAAGTAAAGTTTCTGGGCTCCCAAACTCCTTCCACAGAATAGCCTGTAGCAAACATTCCAAAAAAAATAAAAAATAAGTCAGGAAGGTTTCTCAATGAGTGTTCGATGATGAGGATGATATATAACATCTCCATCTGGTGACACTTACCCTCAGCTGTAAAAGTGCTTCCTGCCGTAGTGATTGAATCATTTGTTATAATGTTTTTATTGATGGGTGCAAACAGATACAGTATGTTAATGTGTTTCAGTGAAATGTATAGACCCCTTGTAAAAGAACTAATATGCTAAGGCAAATTTTCCCACAGCATTCTCCTCAAGAAACTGTCTGTTCTTGGCATGGACTGGTGTGCACTTTGTTGGGTTAGAAACTGGCTGGGTAGCTGGGCCCAAAGAGTTGTGGTGAATGGAGTCAAATCCAGTTGGAGGCCAGTCACTAGTGGCGTCCCCCAGGGCTCAGTACTAGGGCCAGTCCTCTTTAATATCTTTATCGATGATCTGGATGAGGGCATCGAGTGCACCCTCAGTAAGTTTGCAGATGACACCAAGTTAGGTGCGTCTGTCAATCTGCTTGAGGGTAAGAAGGCTCTGCAGGAGGATCTGGATAAGCTGGACTAATGGGCTGAGGCCAACTGTATGAGGTTCAACAAGGCCAAGTGCCAGGTCCTGCACCTGGGGCACAACAACCCCAAGCAGAGCTACAGGCTGGGAGCTGAGTAGTTGGAAAGCTGCCTGGCAGAGAAGGACCTGGGAGTGATGGTTGATAGTCGGCTGAATGTGAGCCAGCAGTGTGCTCAGGTGGCCAAGAAGGCCAACGGCATCCTACCTTCTATAAAAAGCAGTGTGGCCAGCAGGGCTAGGGAGGTGATCATCCCCCTGTACTTGGCTCTGGTGAGGCTGCACCTCAAGTACTGTGTTCAGTTTTGGGCCCCTTGCTACAAGAAGGACATGGAAGTGCTTGAGAGAGTATAGAGAAGGGCAACAAAGCTGGTGAGGGGCCTGGAGAACAAGTCCTACGAGGAGCGGCTGAGGGAGCTGGGCTTGTTCAGCCTGGAGAAAAGGAGGCTCAGGGGTGACCTTATTGCTCTCTACAGGTACCTTAAAGGAGGCTGTAGCGAGGTGGGGGTTGGCCTGTTCTCCCATGTGCCTGGTGACAGGATAAGGGGGAATGAGCTAAAGTTGCACCAGGGGAGGTTTAGGTTGGGTATTAGGAAGATCTTTACTGAAAGGGTTGTTAGGCATTGGAATGGGCTGCCCAGGGAAGTGGTGGAGTCACCATCCCTGGAGGTCTTTAAAAGATGTTTAGATGTAGAGCTTAGTGATATGGTTTAGTGGAGGACTGGTTAAGAGTTAGGTCAGAGGTTGGACTAGGTGATCTCAAAGGTCTCTTCCAACCTAGATGATTTTATGATTCTGTGAAACTAGTTATTATTCTCAGGGTGTACTAGTAACTGTTATAAGTTGCCCCATTAATTAATTTTCAGAGAGCATTGCATTAATAATAGAAAGGAATTTATTGAGTAAGCAACAGCAAGCAAAACAGCGCTGGGCGGCTGGGGAGTCTCGGCTCCACCAACGGCGCGCACCTCACCCCCGCCAGGGTCCCTTTTTATATCTTGGTAATTCCGGGATTACGCAGTACATCCTGGTATATTCTGCAACTGCGCGCACTGTTGCTAGGGGGTCGTCTCTGTCCCTCTGGTGGTCGTGAAGATGAAGGCCGTAGTCTTCCTCGGCGTTGTGGTTCAACTTCTTTTTTTTATTTGGTCATGTTGGCCCAGCGTGAGACAGGAAGGCAGGATGTTGATACACTAGTTGAGCAACTTATCAGGAGATGGTTACACGAGCTTCGCAGCAGTGTCTTTAAACAAAAGAGGCAACTGAGATGCAGAAGGAGAGAAGAGGGGGGGGGGTCTCTTTTTTGTTACATTAAGCAAAAGAATTTTCATAGTGTCTAGCCAAGCATTATACAGCTCCTTACTTCAGCAGGGAGTTTTCACAACTCCCGTTCCTCAAACAGAACTCCTTGTTTTTTTACAAAAGACAATGAACAAACATTTATTGTGTATTACAATCCCTCCTTTTTCTTTTAGTTACTCATTTTGTTCATTGAAGCTCTGCAATGCCTGGCTACTAAGAACTATTTCCTCAACATCTTCACAAGCATTTTTAAATGAAGTTTAAATTAAGTTGTTTTTAAAAGAAGACTGCATGTGCCTGAAGGTTATATTAACCTTTTCAAAACCAATACTTTTTTAAACTTTCCAGAAATCAAATTATTTTAATATAGCATAATTAATTCCAAAATATTTTAATATAACATAATTAATTCTAAGACTTCTACATGGGAGATAGTGTAGTTTACATGAGATGGCTGGTCCATGGAGAAGAAGCTGAGTAAAGGTGAAGCCAGCGATAGAAGAATGGGGGCTTGTTTAATCACATTAATGATTTATAAATAATTGTTATTATTAAAGCCAGGAATGGAAGAATGGGGGCTTGCTTAATCACATTAAAATAGATGTTGCTGAGTGTCTTTGCTTACTACTGTGCAAATTAACCAAAACAAGGAGTCACAGGGCTCCTCACAGAGGATGTTTCCTGACAAAAATGGGGAACCTGTCTCAAAATCAGCTGAGATCGACCTTGTGGTTTGGACAAGAGCTAGGAGCAGTTGAGTCTGGCAGGGGGTCAGCTAGTGGTGATGAAGACGCATTATCAGCCTTCATCCCCACAACACTCTGATGACCACCACCAAGCGCAGATGGGAGGAGTTTATGGAAATTACTTCTTGGAGCTAATTTTAATACAAAGCAGGGATAGGTTATGCATATGTATAGGCGTATTGGGAAACTTCATGCATATGTAACTCTTTACTGCATGTAACCAACGCAAGTTGCCGCGTTAGGGTGCGCGTGCCTTTGGGAGCTATCCCGCATGTACCCAGCGCTGAAACAAACCACATATCTACTTTATAACTCATTTGCTTTGAGTTGTAGAGTTCTTCAGCAAATCAAAGGCACATAAAAGTTAGGAACTCTGAATCAAGTTCCTAGTTCCATTCCAGAAAAAAAAAAAAATATGGATGGAATTTATTCTAGGAGAATGCCTGTAATTGTTTCGATTCTTTGTTTTCTCTGTTTTGCATCAAGAGATTTCGAGTTACTTGTTTATTTGTATTGGGTTTATGTGGTAAGGTTCTGGTAGCAGGAGGCTGCACAGGTTGCCTCCGTGAGAAGAGTCCAGAAGCTGCCCCATGTCAGATCAGAGCCAGCTACAGCCAGCTCCAAAAGGGACCCCACCACTAGCCAGAGTTGAGCCTGTGAGCATTGCTGTTTACACCTCTGTGAGAGCAGATTTAAGAAAGGGAAATGGCACTGTGCAACAGCAGCTAGGAGAGAGAAGTCAGAAACTGTAGAGAAACAACCCTGCAGTCACCAAGGAGGGCAGGAGGTGCTGCAGATGTTGAAGCAGAAGTCCCCCTGCAGCCCATGGGTCTCACATGAAGCAGATCTCCACGCTGCAGCCTGTGGAGGAGCCCCCAGTGTAGCAGGTGGATGTGGCCTGGAGGAGGTTGCGGCCCATGGAGAGCCCCTGTAGGAGCAGGCCCCAGGCCATAGCTGCAGCCAGTGGAGAAGAGCCCACACACAGGCAGGGAATCTGGGGGGAGTCGCAGTCGATGGGGGAGTCATGCCGGAGCAGTTTGCTCCCGAAGGATGGACCCTGTGGTGTGGACCCATATGGGAGCAGCTCTTGAAGAGCTGCTGCCTGTGGGAAGCCTCTGTAGGATTAGTTCATGAAGGACAGCATCCCATGGGAGGAATTTCATGCTGGAACAGCTGCCAAGAGTGACCACAAAGGAGCAGCACAGTCAAAGTGTTATGGACTGACTGTAACCACCATTTCCCAACATCAGTCAGGGATGTAGGAAAGGGCAGATGGAAGGAAGGCATTTTTAGTTTGCTTTTAGTTCTCACTGCTGTAGCCTGTTATGAACAGGCAATAAATTACATTAATCTCCCTTATGTTGAGTCTGTTTTGCCCATGACTGTAATTGGTGAGCAATTTCCCTCTCCTTATCTCAATCCATGAGCTTTTTTTTCTGTTGATTTTTCCCTCATTCTGTTGAGGAGGAGTGAGAGAGCAGCAAGATGGTGTTTAGCTGCCTATCAGTTAAATCACCACATTATTACATTAGCACCCAGTTAATTAATTTTTCTTCCCTTTTTCCTTCGGAGTTTTATTTCACATACAAAAGAATTGGGAACAAAACAAAGATTCCTGTCTTGCTTCTGTTAAAGTTAGTGATATTCAA